CCCACCAGTAAGACACTGATATTAGTGACTTTTTTTGTAATATATTGTAACAAACCTCTGACAAAGAAAACTGTTCATGTTTGAGGATCTAATGATTTCTTGGCAGTGTTTACAGAGTCTGCTAAAGTGACAGTGCTCAGTGCTGTTGCAGTAATGCAGACTGTACAGGTAAATTTTAACGCAAAACACGAAAAAAAACAAACAAACGTAAAATGCATCTAAACTTTTAGCATAAGTATAACATGCTGCCTTTTGCTCTGAAAAGAACCAATGCAAAAATAAGAGGTCATTAAGAGGTTTGTGCATTATAATTTTGACATTTAAGTGTCTGTAACAGAGTTAACGAACAGATTCAGTTAACCGCAGAGAATCAAAAACACTGCTAAATAAATAAATAAATAAATAAATGGCTTCAGCATAAGTTAATGTAGGGCTTTAGTCTTACCTTTTTGTATGACAGCACTGCCGTTGCACAAAAATCAGCAGCGCATACAGGAATATGTTTAAAAAACAGCCCACCGAAATCAGAGGCGTAACAGAGACTGCTTCTTCAGATGAGCTGATGTGCTAAACTACAGTTATTCAGTAACAATTTTTAAGAAAAGTGACAATTTTAGACTGACAGTCATATCTGACAATTCATAATTGACAACTGAAAATCTTACCTGCCACTAAATTTTTGTATTTTTTTCACTATTAAACTATTGCAGTGTACAATTAAAATACAAAATATACATTTAAATGATACACCATGTTTAGTTCTGACAGGTGCTCTGTTGTATTTTACTGCTTAAATATAACGTTAGACTCATGTAGGTTTGGACGTCTTTGGTCAAATGACATGTTTTGTCATTTTTGTAAGTGAAAAAGTGAAAAACATCCTCTACAGAAGCACATTTTAGTACACACTTACTGTTTATTTACCAAATTCCACATACTGTGGAAAAAATTATGCAAAAGTAAAAGCAGAAGGCACATTTCAATATGTTAAACTCAGCGAATAAACAAGTTGAAGAAACAAGCCATTTTTAAGTGTGTTCTCTGTCCAGGATGTTTTAGCTTGTTTTCACTTAGAAAATCGACAGATCGTAATTTGACTGGGCATGTTTAGACATTTGCACACAACTGTATATCGTCTGATACTGGTTTCCAGAATTTTTTAGCCCAATAAAATGGGTGTCGTCGTATCAGTCGTATCAGCTGCAAAACTTTCATTTCTTTTAAGTCCTAGTATGCAGAGAAGTTTAGGATTAGATCTTTTGCTAAATCAAAATCTAGAACAAACGAAATGTTGTCATGCATCTGTGCATGTGTGCGTGTCAACCCAGGAATTCCCCCAGTGTGTTCTCTGCTTTGTTGGATTTCTCTCAGGCATCAGGATGTTCCAGTGGCAGCTGGCGTTGCTGCCAGTTAGATGCCAACCTGTCAGAGTTTGATCCAGCTCCTTTCCCCCTGTAGCCCACATTAGTGGCAGTGATGCGCACACACCCCTCCTGTGTTCTGATCAGCATAGCTAAAGCCCACTCTGAGCAGCGACTCCGGGCTCCCGTCGGACTGCTAATGCAGAGAGTGAGCCGGCACGTTAATGTCTGTCCGCCTTCTGACTGACAGCAGCACAGTTACTTCCTGACAAACCTCTTTCCCATCACATCCGCTCTCTTCTCTCAAGCACACCCATTAAGATGAACACACACTCAGGTTCTCACTGCTGGTGCCCCGAGGCTAGTGGCCCTTGATTGTGTCGATATGAAGGGAGGCCCCTGTGAATTTCTGTCCCATTTTATAGCAAAGATCAATGTGATTCATAGTCAGCTCCCAAGTAAGTGTCACATTGGTTTGCCATTACTGCCCTTATTTCTCCTGGCAGACATAATCTAATGTGTGGCTGTGTTTATATATATATATATATATATATATATATATATATATATATATATATATATATATATATATATTTATTTATTAGTCATTTGTAAAAGTTTGAACAGGTCTGGTCAAATTACATGTTTTGTTCTAAGTGAAAATAAGTTGACACATTATCTTAAATCTTAAAACTTATGTTATATTGTTTGCTAATTTTAGTGCTCAGTTTCTGTTTATTTGCTGAGTTTACGGTATTGGGGGGGCCATAAAATATAAAGTGTGCCATAACTTTTGCACAGGCCACATTTTCTGTTTTAATTTTTTCCCCATTACATCAAATTCAGCAAATAATCAATTATTGTGCATTAAAAATATGTTCTCTGTTGACAATGTGTGAACTTATTTTTACTTAGAGCAAAACATGTCATTTGAGCAAGGGTGCTCAAACTTTTGCAACTGCAAATCTATCTTTTTGTTGCATTATTGTCACAAAGTACAGTTTGTAATATAACTTTAGACTAATGTCTGTTATCTGGGAGTTTCAGAGTTTCAGTGGTTTAGAATGGTTTTAGTGGTCAGTGGTAGATGATTCTTCATTTTTCTAAATAAAGTTTACTTTAGTGGTCATTGGTCTATGGTCATGCTTACTTACAGTACCACTGAGTACAAGTACATTTTGGAAAAAACAGAAAACAAATATTTAACAAAAATTTACACCGAAGCCTCAATTACCAAATATCATATAAAATCTTTCAGTATTTAGTTTGTCCACCTTAACCTTTATTAAAGCTTCCATTCGTTTCAGGAGATTCACTTTCAGTTTTTCAAAGAAATCTGCGAAGAAATCCACACCTCCAAAGTTCAGTCTTAGAATTTGATTTATTTTTTTCTTCCTGTGATCCGAGTAATCGCAAACACATTCAGTGATGTTGAGGTCTTTACTCTGAGGTGGTCAGTCCATTGTTCTGAGAAGACCAGCAGCTTCTTTGTTTGATTTATAAATGTTCTTATTTTTTGTCTGTATCCTTTTAATAATAATAATAATAATAATAATAATAATAACAGTAAATTTTATTTATATTGCACACTGTTCATGACAACGTCAACTCAAGGTGCTTTACAGAAAAATAAAACAAAATTCATAAAAAAAACACGTCTAAAAAGAAGAGTCTTAAGATTCAACTTTAAAATATCCAGAATTTCTTAAACAGAACAAAATCCTGAAACACATGTAAAAGGAAAATTGTTAAGATTCTTTTTCAAAATCCAGAATTTCTAAAACAAAGCAAAATGAATTCATGAAAGCAGGGTCTGAAAAGAAAAGTCATAAGATTCTTATTAAGAAAAGAGACTCAGAATTACTTAAAACAAAAATTAATTTACAAAAACGCATCTAAAAAGTCTTAAGATGCTTTTTTAAAAAGAGGTAAAGTACCAGAATTTCGTAGAGACTCAGGAAGCTCGGTACATAATCGTGGACCCAATCCACTAAAAGCTCGCTCACCCTGGAGCAGAACTTTGAACGTGGAACTACCAGCAGATTCGAGGATCCAGACCAAAGCAGGACTGTAGCGAGTCTGACAAAGTAAAAGATCCTGCAAATATACTGGAGCTTGGGCATGTAAACACTCATAAACCAAAAGTAAAACTTTGAAATTAATTCTTTTCTCAGTCAGGCTTCTTGTCCACTACACATCCTTTCAGACCCATAGCGCTGAGTCGTCTTCTCACAGTGGAAGGATGAACAGAAACACCTGTGGATGTTTTCAGATCTGAAGCAGCTTGATTTTCTCCTCTCTCTCAAAGATGAAAGCTTAAAGTGCTGTTTATCTGATGGGGGCAGTTTTAATGGTCTAGCCGGTCTTGCATGGTTGTTAGGGGTCGCATTGTCTCAGTGTATCTTAATCATTTTTTGAAGTTGTGGAAACTCCTGTTTTTTTGCTCCTTGTTTTCCTTTGACTTTCCCCTTTTTAAGGCACGGGGATTATCTTGTATCTAAACTCCTCAGAAATATCTCCTGAAGAATGGAAAATCTTGTAATGACCACTTTGACCATTAACTCTAACTATTTGGGGGGGGGGAAATACCCAAATAGATCCAACCATTTTAATGACTGTAGAATATGTGGATGCAAAAACTTTGAAATTGCGCCCGAGCACACATTATGATTGGAGTCGACTGAGCTGATGTCCATGGTCCTCCAAACCCAAGGAGCTTTCAGCTGTTGTCTTCAGCTGTAAAAGACCATTAAATGGCAAAGAGATGTAAATAATATAAATATAAACAGCTGCATATCTCTTATTGGTTATGTGCACAACAAAAGAGACCATTACATTTTTACTAGCCATGTTTTTACATAAAAAATATATCACTGAACAGGTGCAGTCGTCAGTTTGTCTGGAGGGGTTGAGATGCAGTTTCTTTATTATATGATTTCTTTACAGTGGTGGTGATGGGAACCAGAGGTCGCAATGTCTACAGCGCTCATGAACCTTTGGGGACAGTTTTGCCCCTGTGTACCATTTTGTCATGAATGGATTAAAAATATATTTTAGGCCGAAATCATATCTTAGAACTATCAAAAGAAGGTCTCCACCATCAGGCATCATATTCATCACCATTTCATATAATAACTTTCTGTGAGAGAGCTAATAGGCCTTAAACTCTTTGAACATCTGGTTCCTATCATCACCACTGTGAATAATTCTGACTGAATGGAGCATTTTACTTCGATTACATCTTATTGATTTAATTATGCAGAAATTTAGTAAGCATGAATTTTTAATAACCATGAGAAGCTTTGGTATGGAGTGTTTAGGGGGGTGGGGGGTTGCCCCATAGTGTGGTGGCCTATGGACTCTGAGCTGTTAAGGCTTATTGAAATAGGACCATCAAAACAACCTGCAGCAAAAGTTATAATTTGTCTACAGTAGTACTAATCCTAACCCTCACCCTGGCCCTAATCCTAACCCTAACCTTAACCTCAACCCAAAACCTAAACCTAATCCTAACCCTCACCCTGGCCCTAATCCCAACCCTAACCTTAACCTCAACCCAAAACCTAATCCTAATCCTAGTGTCACCCAAACTGTTAAGAGCGCTCCAACTAATGCAGGCTGTGTCTGTCTTTGTGGCAGGTGATGGAGTATGAGAACCGTATCAGAGCTTATTCCACGCCAGACAAGATCTTCCGCTACTTCGCCACGCTGAAGATCATCAACGAGCACGGAGACGCTGAAGTGTACATGACGCCGCAGGACTTCATTCGTTCCATCACGCCAAACGAGAAGCAGCCAGAGAGTGAGTGTTCTGTCCATCTCCCTTCCTTCTTCCCTCTAGGAATGAGCCCATGGTGTTCCTCCCTGTTGCTATATCTGTGAGAAGCTATGAAGCACGACATGCTCATAAATACAGATCCTCAGTCCTCTCTCTCTCTGCACGACCGTGCTCTGCAAGGTCAGTCAGCCATGGTCTTCCGTGTCTGTGGCTAAAAAGGTTTGCTTATTTTTCAGAGTTTCACAAAAATTCAGAGTTATTTCTGGTATATGTGATTGGAAGGACCAGCTTCCTTTGTGCTTTCCAGAGTTTACCTTTTATTTTAATGTCAGTTTTATTTGTAATACTAGAATTTAGGACATAATTTGGCATAATCCATCACCAAATGCTTAGAAGTAATTTTAACTTTGTAGAAATCAATGTTAAAATGTTATTTAATCAAGAGATAAGGAACAGTCATATGATTATTAAAATAGAAGGACAAATGTGTGCAGCAATATTGTACAGCCACCTGATTCTTGCGTTGTTTTGCTCCTGGTGATTCTCCTGTAGAGTTTTATTGCAGCTCTAATCATATCCATTTGATTAAATTAGGAGTGGGGATGTCACCAATTTTAATATATATAATGTATAATATCTAATATGTAATCTGCTTTGGTATAAAACCCAATCATACAAGCAGTTTTAATAATTCCAATAACTGTGCCACTTCTTTAAGAAATCATGGTGGGAGTAAACAGCCTACTACAGTTTATATGTGAAGCACACACAGAGGCAGTGCATGTTTGCAGTTATAATGTGAGTAGTAAAATTGGGGCTGAACGATTCATCACATTTTTAATATTATCATGAGTTTCTGTGACCAACACATTATGGGCTGCAATGCCTGGAGTTGTGGCTAATATTTGAGTAATAATTGAGAGTGAATGACTTAACCGCACTGCTATAAAGCCAATAACAAATATGCATAGCTCAAAAACGATCCTGAGCAACTAGCCTGTAAAAGTGCTTTAAACATGATTATTGTCACTCCCAGTGTGTTGAATGTTAATGACTACTGTCACAACAAATCTGCATCACCATAAGGAACCTTTTAAGGAATTAACATGTGTATTTATGTTTTTTGTAGTCTTATATAGAAAAGAAAATGCACATATTTATTTGTTTTTGTGGGCTTATAGACAAAAATGTGCTTGCAATTATTATGTTAATTATTGTAATTCAATTTTTTTGCACATTGCACAATAGTATATGTTGCTTTTGAAATTTTATTTATTTTTTTTGCTATTTACTTAAAATAGAGGTAAATAGTACGACTTATGATTAATTACAGAGCCAAAAAAAGAAATACTTATTTATATGTTTTTAAATCAGTTATAGAGTTATAAAGAACTATGGGGTTCAATTAAAAGTTGCTCAATATAATGAGCTGAGGTAAAATGAATTGAGTGTACATTTGCACCTTTTAAATGTTTCAGTATATTCAACAATACCACAATAATAATGAACACCGTGATAATTTTATTCACTGTTATTGGGATTGGAAATGTTTATATCATCCCAAAGTGATCGATGTAGGGCCTGCTTTTCAATAAAGACTATGAAGGCTGTTTCTGTATTATATGTTTCATGCAATATAATTGCATGAAAACCAGTATTTTGAGAAAGTGGTTAAAGTAGATGTCAATAAACACGTCGTGTTAGTTGTTGTCAAATTGAACGTTTGAAAAAAATCAATACTGGCTTCATACCTTTGTCACATAGCTGGAGGAATCCATTCATTTTATATCTATTGATTAGTCCGAGACCAAGCAAACAGGTCACGAGGGTTTTTGGGGTGCAGTGTTCCCAGCTTAGTAGGGAAAGGAACCTGACCAGACTGGGCCTCCAGTGCCCTTCCTGCTTTTCATGTGGTTGTCAGGAAGGATGACAGCTGAGGCTGGAGGGCAGCTGCTACCCTTTGAGTTCTGCTGCCTCAGCCTATGGAGACGGCCAGTGTTTAATTTTATTTGCATTGCACTTTTACAGCAGAGCTTATTATAAAGCAGCTTTTCAGAACTCCAGGTCCGGCTCCGGTTACATAAAACACCTTAAGATTTTCCATTAAGTATGAACCTGAAGGGTAGGTTTCCCTTACCAAAGGGAATTTGTTAAGGGTGTTGCTTAAAATCCCTCAGGCGTTTCTCTTAGCTGAGGGGAAACGCTGATAGGTTTACTGTAGTGACTGAGATTTTGCTGTAGTAAACTTCCAACTTATCCATGACAGCATTCATTCATTAATGACACGCTTGGTAGCTAACCTAGCGTATCTAACTGACTCCTAAATCAGCTTTGATAACCTGTTATGATAAGATGAAAAATTAACTGCTTAGTTTAGCTGTTGGCAAAGAGGGTCTTCTGTGGCATCAAATCCAACTCAAAATTTGCGAGGAAAACTACTCTTGCATGCACAAAGACAACTACTCGCGCAAAGAAAACCACCCGTCCGACACTCGACTGTTCTTTCTGCTCGCTATTAAGCTTCTGCTCAAGCAAGAGTTTAATTCATTATTGGCAGCTGTGGGCGGGTCCCTGACGTAATGGTTACTACTTATTTCTGTAATGGGGTTGAGATTGTCAGTGGTCATCAGAGCTTTTGCTTCATATTAAAAAAACGGGGAATAGGACTTTAGCTCTAGAGGACGACCTTCATAGTCTGCCAGTACAATGGCGTTAGCTGAAACGCTGTCTGTAATTACTGAATTCTATCTTTGTGAATGTTTAGTGTGGTTTTTAGTATGATAGTTTTCCATGCGCACAAGAGTAGTTTTCCTCGTGCAAGAGCAGTTTTCCACTCGGTGGACACCATACATGCTGAGGACATAAACATGCAGAACATCTCCCATTATGGGCTGAAAACTCCACTGGAAAGGTTTCATTTTTAATACAGTTAACGTAAATAAATCATATCTATATTTGTTAATGTTTTGACTGGCTCTGCTTTTGTCTACCTCTTTTCATGTAAAATCACTCTGGTTGGCCGTTTTGCATGTCTGTCAATCACTTTCCTGAGAAAGGAGGTTCAACAATGAAGTTTAGTCTCTATGTGGGTGGGGCAGAGCAGAGTTAAGCTTATCTCACAGCTTTAAATAAATCTCTCCTTGAGCAAAGATCTGTGTTGGTTTACTGCGTGGCTGCTAACAACCTTAGTTTTTTTTTTTGCTGTTAAGCCTCGGTAGGTTAACACAGCTCAACACCCAGTCTAAATATGTGTTGTTAGTGTAGATATAAATATTTATTTATCAATTTCTTTATCTATCTTATGTACTTCACATGCATTTAACTTATTTTGAAAGCATTATTTGCTTCAGCATGTAGCCCTGCATTGATTAAAACGCATCAAGAGTGAATCGTGGAAATGAAACAAAAAATGATATTTACCAGATATCAGTACGGTCTTCATCCAGCACCCCACCTTATACATTATTGAGGGTTAAATCTACTCTCTCAGTGTTTTTTATTCATGTCAGGTTCTCTCTTTCATGAAGAAAGTGCACAGGTACATTCTCCTCATCAAGCATCTCCAAAACACAGTCTTTTCTTCAGCTTCTCGCATTGGCTAAAAACTTAGAGGGAGCATTTTCCTTCCCTTAAATTGTCCTCAGAGAAATGACAGCAAAGGGACTTTATGCAATGCATGAGGGATTATTTAAGGGAAAGTCGATCGATGTAAAGGTGTATGATGATTTAACCCTTTAGTAATAGCCAAAGGGTTTTTTTTGCAACACACATCAGATATTTAAGGGTAATCTGAAGGGAATTCTATTTAAGGTGTTTTATGCAACCGGACACAGACCCCTAATGATCAAGTTAAGGGTGATCCTCTTATGGACCGCAGCCAGATAGCTTCGTGATAAACATATTACTCGTTTATAAGTCAGACTGAACACAGGCACTGTGATCAGACCGTGAAATAAACCAGCGACCGGTTTTAAAAGAATGTGTCCCAGCCAGCAGCACTGATTGGCAGATTGGGGCCAGAGGGGCGGGGCGTGAGGGTGACTTTGCTACTATGTGGTGGAGAAATGAATTAGCAGTTCTGAATGAGGAATCCTCACAAGCTGGGGAAGCTGACGAGGGAGATTTGATCTCTGGCCTGCAATTACTGGTTTGTGTGTGTGTGTGTGTGTGCGTGCGTGTGTGTGTGTGCGTGTGCATGTTTGTGTGTGTGTGCATGTGCATGTGTGTGTGTGTTTGTGTGTGTAAGGGTGGTTCTGAGCACTCACACACAGCAGGATTACTTTCATTACTTTAGGCCTGAAATAAAATCTGCTTCATTTGTGCATTTCACAGAAGCCTCTCCACACTGGAGGGACAGGAGTGCCTTGTGCACCAGGAGTAGGCAGTAAGGTATTTCAGTGTTATTGTGATAAATTACGCCAGGATATGCGGAGTATATCACGCACAATAGTGCTGCCAGGACTGCCGTTTTGAATGTGCATGACAAATTCACAGGTGGGACAAATCTCTCTCCTCTGGATGGAGGACATAGACTACAAAAAACAAAGTATAATCCGTAACTGAAGCATTTGCTGAGAGTTGTTCAGACATTGCAGTAAGAGAAATGTACAGTGCTGCTAATCTACTGGCTTACTGGTCAACCAGAATAACTCACAGCTCATAGTAGGAAAAATCGTTATAATCTCTTGCTTTGCACACAGGAGCAGTGGTGACCAGTGTAGCTTTAATATGCTGCAGATTTCTGACTTTTATGCCTTCTGCGTTAATGACCTGGTTGATTGTGTCACATTCAGATTTGGATCACTGTAGTTACTGTTCATCTGACGCAGTTTGGTTTGCGTGGCTACTTTAGTGCTCAAAACAATACTTTAATTCCACATCCTCCCCACGTTTATCTCCGCTGACATTATCACTGGTAATGCAGGATTTGATAGTCTCGATAGCATCATACTTCTTGTGACAGTGTGATGACATTTAGTGCCTGTTTCTCAGCTGGAAGCTGTAGCCTTACTGTTATGCTTATT